AAAAAAAAAAAAAAACCAGCAAAGCTGGAAAATAAAAATCTAGCTAAACCAAGGGAAAACATTTTCATTGATTTACAGGAAAATGGGCGCGAAACGGCGGCGATCAAAATGAATCCCTAGAAAACAGTTGACAATCAAACATGTGCAAAGTGGGAAAATGGAATTCCCTAGAAAATGAGTGGTATCAAACACTGCCTAAAGCAATCCATATTCTAAAATCAGTACAAGATCAAAGTTTAAATTAATTGAGGAACAACAGGACTTGGTCCAAGATTTTCACTTAGATAAATAAATATTTTCTTTCAAATGCAAAATAATAAGAATGAGAGTCCATTAAGAAAATATTATTCATTAGAAAAGTATAGACTAATCAAATAATTAAGAGCTTAAATTATATGTATCAAGAAGAAGAATTACCATATGTTCTTTTCATTTTAATTCTTTTTGGGTGAAAGCTAATATCAAGTGTCTCCATCCCTTAATCTATTCATTTTTTTTCTTAAACCATCCAATTAGCCTTGCAAACTTAATTACATATAGTTCTATTAGTTGCACCAAAGAAGATAAAATAACGAGTTACCACTCGAGTACAGTGTACAAAAATAAAAAAAAAAATGAAGAAAAAATTTCAAATAATATACTACTCTAGAAAGCTAATTGTAGAGAACGTGATTATAATCAGACCATTTTATTCTTTCAAACCAAAAATGAAAAACACCAAAAAGAAAAATAAAATAAAATACTAGAGGACATAAAAAATTAAAGTAAAAAAAATCATTCATGTCAATGTTCTTATTAAAAATTTTAAAAGTAAGCTAGAGAACTTCAAAAGGGTGGAATTTGGGGATGAGAAATTGAGAATAATTAAACAAGCAGAGAAAATAAAGTAAAAGCTTAAATGTCAATTGATAAATAAAAGAAATGACAAAGAGAAAAAAGGAGAAAAATAAAATAGAGAAAGCGAAGAATTAGCTTGTAAATGAGGAAAAAATAGTGAACAACTGCGAATGTATCAAAAAAAATATGCTTTGAAGAATAAAAATCATTTTTTGAAAAAAATTCTTTATTATTTATTAATATAATATATACAGAATAAAAAATTTGGAATTCTCATCAAAACAGGACCTTAAGCGATCGTCTATCTATCTACAGTAAAGATCAGCACTGATTTGAATCGAACAATATGCACAATGAATATGGCTTTAAGCCAAGACCATATGTCTAGTCATGGTTATGACTTGTGAGTACTCAAGTTAAAAAGAAAAAAAAAATGAATCAAACTAGCGAATCTCTACTTTAACTAATCAACATCTTACATGAATGGCATCAAACGAGATGCATAAAAAATGTGGCTACAAGTTAATGGCATATGTCTAGTCATGAAATTATCAGTCCCGAGTGTTGCACGCAGATTGAGCCCACCACGCGTTATTCAAAAAGTTTTAAAACAATTGAATGAAAATTATTTTAGATTACGATAAGCATTGTAAACAAACAATTAATGACACCCTAGTGAAAAATTGTAGAAGCTGAATTGATTTACCGGACGAAGTTGTGAAGCTGGTTGAGTAATGATTGAAAGAAATTGTAGAAATTGAACTTCGTTACTCGACAGGTTATCGAGTAAGTCTACAAGTTTCGAAGAGAATGAAATTGCGAAATGGACTCCCAACGACATAAAGTTTATTGATTAGTGGTCTAAGAGGGTGTTTGATGATAATTAAAATTTAATTTTTAGTAGATTGTGATAAAAGTTTTTGAAATGTGTGGTTGAAAAGTTGTGCACTTAAAGTAGTGGTGGCAATGGGCCGAGTTTCGACGAGCAGAACTCAAGCTCGTTTAAGCACGAGCCAAGCAGCTCGACCGCTCGGCTCAGGTAGTCCCGAAACGAGCCCGAGCCGTCAATGGGCAAAGCTTTAACTAGATGAGCCGAGCCGACGAGCTACTAGACTCTTTTGTCACCCCTATCTAAAAGTTGATGGTGGCTTCAGGGTCTGCTCACTCTGATTTCTTGATGGATCTTTCAGGACAATGTTCTCTTCTTTTATAGGATTTGTCTACACAACTATTTATCCCTAATGCATTTATACATGATGCTATGGCCTGAGTGTTTATTATGTTATTTGGGAATGTATTTGCTGGTCGACGTGCAAAAAATCTTGGAAAATATGCTGAGAGTGGCTGATAGATAAATTTATCGTTTGCTATAACTTTTACCCTATATCTCCGTGCATCACATAGGTTTCCTCTGTGCTGCACGAAGAAAACCTATGTGCAGTGTCTCCATGGAGGTTTTCTCCGTGCAGCACGGAGAAAACCTCCGTGCAGTGTCTCCATCTCCGTGCGCCCTTTTTTTTTTTTCAAAGTCAATATTGTGGACTTGCATTTTTATTTTTTTTTGTTCACGTATGGAACAGTGATACGTGAGGAAAAATCACAAATGAATACTAATCCTCAAAGCCCATTTTCAAGAGAGGGTAGATTCAAAACTACAAAACTTAAGGCAAGAAAAATGAGATGCTGTGGGGAAGGTAATGATTTCTTTTAGAACAATTAACTTTTTTTAAGCTTAGCCAAACATGAGATGAAAATAGTTGGTAATATTTCACACTCCATCCCCTTTTTAGTCCCTTTTTAATAAATTTCCTCAGTTACTGCCACCCTGATATTTCAGTGTCCGCCCAATTCTGCTGAAATTTTCTCCAGAATTCTCATTTCTTCTCCATGAATCTTTGCTATTCTATTTCAAGGAATCCTGATGTGGTGTCACGTGCCTCAATCTTCCCATTCACATTCTTCTCAATTTATGATGCTCGCACAAAACTTCAAACCAGATTGAGGTTGAGATTGGAATGCAATTCAAAGCCCATTAGAGTGGAATTGAGTTCCGAAGGCAGTAATACCAACGTTATTAACGCAAATGATAGTTTAGAGGAATTTGATAAGAGTAATAATAGTATATGGGAAGAATCTGAGTACGTGGAGGTGATTGGAATAGGAAGTCGAACAGATGCAGCGCTTGACTTCTGCTCTGGGTCCCTCATTCTTTCCCCTACTTTGAGATTTTGGTATGTTCGACAATACCATTTTCAAGTGCACTGTTATATGATTCTACACTGGCATTTGGGTGTACTTTCTCGAGCTTTAGAACTTGGGTTTATGTTTTTGTGTTTATTTATGTTATGAGGCCTATGGAAATATGCCCGTAATTTCCTTATTTTTTGACTTATCGTTTAGCATCAAAGCATAGCATACAGATATGCAATGCTTCAGTTATTCTGAAATGGACGTGAATTAATGTGATTTTTGTATTTTACTCGATAAGGGATTAGTCTTGGGCCTGGCACTATCATCTCCGTTTTGGAAATAATAACATTTTGTGAGGCAAGTGAATCAGTTTGTTTGTATTGGTGTTGTTTCTCAATTTCCAAAGTGTGTGCTGGTAAAAATGTGGATTATATATTTTCTAAGTAACAAATTATCAAACTGTTAACTTGATGAGTGACGAAAGTGCTGCTTCTGGAGGGAGATTATATGTAGACTAAGGTTTAAAGCTTCTGTATCTAACAATTTGTTTGAATGTATGCTAGGCAGGTAAACTATATTAGTCATATGTTTATTAAGACAGCTAACTGAAAGGTATTGGGGGAAAGAGAGGAATTACCCTCAGGACAATTACATGAAAGATGATGTACCTTGTGATACAATTTTTATGCATTTTTAGACGGCTAGTAATTGTCTTGTAAAAATTGCTGTGTCCTTCATAGGCTGATTTTCCTGTTTTCTTTTGTTCTGAGGATGTGATGTTTAGGTTCTCTGCCTTCTCAATTTTCACTGAGTTGTTTAATTTTGAATCTTACCTTGCTATTCCTGCTATTATATGTTATCTGACCTATAAGCTACATGATGTAGTGAACTATTAGCCTGTAAGCTTTCGAGGTGTATGTTGGGTTGTTGCATCTGTATCTTACAATTTACAATCTGAATGTTTTTGAATTGTGATTTAGCCCCCAGTACATACTTGAATTTGTCTGCTAATTCCAGTGAACTGTATTGCAGGAATATTATTAAAAAAGATTCAATGAAGGTGCTATTGAAACAAAGGTTCAGTACACAAGGTTGAGTGTCTGCACTTAGATGTTCTCTTCTCATAGAGTTTATTTTCAATATAGGGTTATTTGACTGACTAGTCTCATTGTTACACCTTAATGCAAAGCACTGTATAGCATATAAAGTTTTGGTTATTTACTTTTATAACTGCTGGATGCTACTGAGTCCTGTGGATCTGTTGGCACTAGAACAGAATTGACCGTTTCTCAAGTATTTGGATGATTTGCATATTAATTAGGATAGCCATTGGAGTAAATGTTAGGTAACAGACATAGTGCAAAGACACTTTTATTGCTGTATGGTTATGCTATTGGGAGCAAGCATAGTTGACTGGTCGAACCAGTTGTCCAAAATCTAAGACTAAATCCAAAACGAAGCTCCAGGAACAATTTCTTTTCGGTTGCATATCTTAATGATGACATTAACTCTCTTATCACTTGGATAAATCAAAACTTGAACCCTAGTTTAGTTCATGTCCTTCTATCAATAAGAGCTAATAAATTTAAATTATGTAGTCAACTATTTTCCTCTTAAAGATTGGCCCTTTTTCTTTTTTTACAATCCTTTTTTATTGGGGGTGGGTGACAATTCAACTATCTACTAAAAAGTTCCTATTTCTTATATTTCAGTCTTTTTTTTTAAGAAGTTAATTGTGTTCAATTGACTGCACTGAGATGGATATGATTCTTGCGATGAATATATAGGGGAACTGGCCATTTTCTACCTTTGTTTAGTGGGTCAGTTTTCACCTCTTCCCATTTCAACTTGCCTTACTTTTTCCTCCATTTCTGTTTCAATCTGATTTCCCTGGCCATTTATGGGTCATGTTTTATGTATTTGTTGCCCAGCCCAAATATGTGACATATCCATTGCATTGTTAAAATGGCCACCAACCACTGGCACCATACACATTTTTCTCTTTTTTGGCACTCAAATCATTCTTTAACCTAGTATAAGTGTATAACAAGAATCGCTAATATAACACGGTCTTTATACCCAAGCCGTTACATCATACGTACCGTCCGCTTTGGGTGCGCCGTTACAGCTAACCTGCAATCTACTGTAAAATATACACTTCTTAAGATTCAGCCCCCATCCACCACCTTTTTCTTTGTGCCTAAAGATCTCCATCTATTTCATAAAATGGATGGCTCTCTCCTTTCATTTTTCTTGAAACTCGTAGTGAAGATTAAATAGTAATCAGAAACCTAAACAAATAATCTTAGTGCTGGACTGTCTTATTTACTGCCAAAGTTCTTTTGTGTTTCAAATGAAAAATAATCTCTCCTGGTATCTCTTGAGGTAACAAATTGATTTTTTTTCACCAAAATAAATAAAAATGAAACTAAGAAGACAGAGAGACATTTTAATGTATATACACCAACTAAATTTTCTGATTGGACCATTCAGAGGATATCTGTGTATTGTAGACTTCAATTTTTGTGTCCACACTGAAGATCATTGTTTATGTGGTGACACCTCCACATATGGTTTTGCTCAAAATCTTGTCCTTTTTTTTTCCCATTGTGCAGATAATACTCCAAGAACTGTGGAAGCTCCATCGACACCAATGTCATGTCATAAAGCAGTTATACTTGTTTGTACATTGCTTCTCTCACACTCTAATGATTTTATTATTTAGTATTTTTGCTTTTCTTAAATTCTCATTTTGAAGGGAAACCCCTTTAGACTGTATATTTCTGCATGCAGGCATGCTAGTTGAAAGAAAAACCATTGTCCAAACACAATACCGATTAATCATTGTCTGTCTGTTTATCCAAATATTTTTACTAGACACTAACATACTTCAATCTTAATAAGATATTATCTACACTACTACTCAAAAACTGCTAAGGCTTTACTAATTGGCTTTTCATTCCAAAACTACTCTTATTCAGTTTATCAAGTCTCAAAATGTCATTGGAAGTTCAAAATTGTGATAAGACTGGAGTTCTACAAACGTTCCATTTATGAATGTAATTTCTTGTACATTTCATTTACAATTGATTGAAGTGTAAATGTTATCTCCAGAGTCATGGAATTTTTTTTTTGGATAACTGTATAAATATCAAAATGCAGAAATATGCGATCGGTAACTGATAAATATGTAGGAAATTTATAGACTGTGGTATAGTATTAGACTATTTCTTGTAAACTTCTATATGTGAATTAATTTAGGCATAAATTCTATTGCTCTAAACTTTTGGTGTTACAAGAAGGCTGTGCTTTTCTTACAAAATAAGAAGTGTATCAAATTTACACCATCTCACCGCGTGTTATTTTCTCATTTGTTGGACACTTCTCTCCGTATTGTAGTGAGCATGAAGAAACATCTGGACTTTTTGAAAACATTTTGTTTGATTCATTTCCACTGCTTAAATATCTGTTTCTCTCTTCATCTAGTCCATTTGATTTTCTATAGGTGACCAGTGCAGCTTGTGGCACTTTCTCAAAACATGTTATTAGATTCTTTTCTGCTTCTTAAATGTCTGTGCATATCTCTTCATCTAGTCCATTTGATTTTCTGTAGGTTGCCAGTGCAGCTTATGGCTCAGATCACATTACAGCACTTGATATTCTTCGCAATATTAAGTCAGTAAATGGATTTGTGGTTGGTGTTATTTTGAAGCCATTCAGATTTGAAGGACAAAGGCGTCAATACGAGGTACCTCTTTTCCGTTTGCTTATTTGAGATTCATAGGTCCATATGGTTAGCAGGATATGCCCAATAAATGATGTAATATGGGTTACGTATTAAAAATTTTTAAAGTCATATCTTTTTCAAAGGTGAAAAATTGATGTGGAAGTTAGATATTGTAAAACCATGTCCATGCCTGACTCACTTGCATACTATCAATAACTAACATTTTAAACATAAAATGGAAATGTTGTGATGATTCCATCTGCAGGTGAAGGATTTGGAGGACAAATTTCAAAAGCTTGCAAACTTGTGTATTGGTGAGTAAAATGTTGCCATAGAATACATTTGTTAGTATCTATATCCAGTTTGCTAACAAATTGAAGGAGCTTAAGATTTCTTCCTTATCTAATTATGTTTAATCTCTTAGACTGCAGCCGCTATCTAATGCAAGGAAAATTGATTTATTATTAAATATGGAAGATGTAGCTCTAAGATAATTCAAGAAAATTTGAAAATTGCCTCTCTTTCTTAAGGATTTGAAAGCAACTTAGTGATTTTTTATCAGTAATTTAGAAACATGGAGGAACTGTATTGTAGTGTGCAATGGGACTTCTTTTTTGTATTCTCTGGCTGTGCTTGATCCTGTTTCCAAATGCTACTAAGTACCTAGCAGTCCAGGGTTTCCGAGCAAGTTCATTAATGCACGCATCAAACACAAAGATTGGAATTGGAAACTCAAATGCTTCCATTGGTATATTTCTTCCAAAATGTACCATGAGCATTACTTAAAAAAATCAACTATTTGCTGCAAAAAATCATACCGTAATTTTAGTTGCTTTAAAGTTGATGAACATAAATATTAAGGAGAAAAGGAAGGAAATTTATAAAGGATGTTCTGCAAAAATAATATCCAAGCCAACAAGACTTGCTTTTGAACATAAAATGGTTACAACACCATCTCTGATATGATTGCTTCTAGTTTCAAATAGTCATTCAATTACTAATAGGTTGCTATATTACAGAATTTCTTATGTTATTTTATGTTGGCCACAGTTGTTGACACAGATACTCTTCTGGAAAATGATCTGGTAACTCTGGACGAGGCTCTGAAGACCTATAATAAAGCTGTTCTGATGGCTGTGAATGCCATTTCTGTTCTTGTATCTGTAAGCAAGCTTTTATAGTCCTTATTTTGATGCTCAAGTTTATTCCCTTTCCCGTCTTTGTTTTATTTAGCCCTGTTTGATGGTCATTATGTTGGCAAAATAATGTTTTGAATAGTAATTATTAGGAGAATGTGTAGTTAAAAAGTAGAGAAAAGTTTTTGATTTACGTGCAGAATATTTTTTTGTGAATGTGTAGTTGAAAAAAGAGTTTTCAAATAATGGTTGTCAAGCAGGGGCTTAGTAACTTACATTCATGTCATTAACAGGAGAAACACGTAAAGCTTCTAAATGAAACACAAAATGATACCGAAGAACTTAAACTTCCGGAGTTCAGAAAAGTAAGTTCTTTTACAATCTGTGTTTTTACTGAGTAGATAGTTCTGTTTGTGTTACCTGCTGCATTTCTTAATTCAGGTTATGAAACAAGACTCTTTATATTGATTAGTGCAAATCCCATAAATGTTGCGGTTATCGGCACTCTTAGCAATCTTGTCCCTCTCTCATCTTATTTTTTTGTTTCATGATAAATATTGGATCTCATGGTTTCTGGGAGGAACTGTGGACATGGTTCCTCAGCTCTTCCGATCTTTTTGTTTCTTCAATGCTGGCCTAGTTGAGGTTTTAAATTTCAGAGATTGGACTCTCTTACTTTGATTAGCTCCCACTAGTCTGACATGTTATTGGATTTTTCCCCTTTGTCCATCTACATGAGGCTAAGGCTACACATTTACAGATTGTGGATAGATTTAAAGAAGCAAGAATTGGATTTGGAGCTGCTTATAATGTCAGAAGTTCAATCCTGCAGGCTATATATGACTGCCCTTTCCTGGGTGTGGACCTTAAGGTTTGAACCATATAATCCTTTTTGGATGTTGAGTTACAGAAGTTGCATTCTTTTTTTCCTGTTCTCCTACGCGTTTCTTAGCCAAGGCTCATAGAGTCTTTTCTTTTTTGTAATATCATGTTGTAACTGAAATTCATAGTTTAAGTTCTTCAGACTTTTTCTCACATAATGTTTTGCCTTTATTTCATTTCTACTTTTGCACTCTGGCTTTACTGCTTGCATTTTTCTTGGCAGGACACTAATGGTGTAATACTATGCATCTTTGCAAGCTCAGGCATTGTTGAATGCAGTAATGTGCATATTCTTTTGCATAATTTTCGACTAACTACGCAATACCAGGGAAAGATAATTATATCTATAGTTCATGAACCCAGTCTAGAGCCTGATATAATTCTGACAACAGTAATTGCATTCGGGTAAGTTTCCTCATCTTCCAATAAATAACTGATAAACTATATATTCTGATAACATTGCTCTTAAACTGAAGTTCTCTTCTTTTGACCTTGTTGTTCTTCTGTATTTTCTTCCAATAGGATTATTAACTGAGATTTATATTTCATATCCATTTGAATGAAGCTAAATTATCTATAGATTAAAGCTATGACAAATTTCTTTCAAACCCTTTTCCCCCTAATTTTCTTTATTCTTTATGTATAAATAAAATTGACTTTGATGCTGTCATAAAATTGAAAATAATCATTATTAAGTATTTATTTATTGCTTGTGGCAGAAAAGAATTTTCTGCTTTTCACATTATGTTTGTGAATATGATCTTTCTCAGAGAATGCAGTTTCTACAATTCTGGTTACCTCGTTATCCAGAATATTTTGTTTTTACCCTTTCTCGTCTTCCACCCTCATTCCAGTTAGTTATTATGGTTCCAGCTTAAGTCAAGAACAATCTACACTAGCTTGTCATTTACTATGTCCGAGTTTGAAGAAAGTGACTTTATCTGAAAGTATACAAGCTTTTCGAGTTGTAGTTAAATCGAGGTTATGCCATATGAAATTTTGCTTACATTCTACTACTTAGATTTGATCTTCATTCTTGTATATGATGTGGTATCAGTTACTTCAGACAGCAGTTGGCTCGGAAAAATGGCATATTCTTTAACTTGGCCCAACATTTCCCTTTCATATTCAATATCTTCAAGAAGCAATATCCACAACCTTTCAGCACTGAGCGTCCACATTCTTCTGAGGTGACAAACTCACCTGGCATTGGTGAAATGTCTGATATAAATTCCTTGAATGGCAAAACTGAAGATGCAGACATTTACTTCAAAGAAATCCAAACACTATTGAGCAACAACGGTGAAGAAATCAGTTCTCTAAGGTTCTCTTTTCCCTTTGCATCATTCAATTTAGCCATGGCTTAGTTTTGTAATTTACCACTACTAAAACTCTTGTTGCGAAACAGTATTGGTTCTGGTGAAAGCGAGGTAGCATTTTCAGAGGCTGATTCCTATTCTTCCACTCATGCCTTCAATTCTGCAGGTAGAATCTGAATAGTTTTCTTATCCGGTTTTAAATCATTTTTCATATAGTGATTTTGATGTCATTGGCTCATGTAATGAGCTAATTATAATAAGTGGTACAAATAAATTGTTATTTGCATTGCCTATTTTAGCAGTCCACTGATCACAATTAATATCAATCTTGGTTGCAATGCATTACCCAGGAGTACCTATGTTTAAGAGGGATCTTCTTAGTAGAGGAAATTTGTGGTCAGGTCATCCAAGTGAATGTGCCAAACAAGCAGCTAACTTTTCAGAGGAAACTATGTTGGTTGACAATGTGTGCATCCAGAAACTTCCTGTTGGTGTGAAACATTTTGAACAGTCGGAAGACAGTCTTCTTGCCTCAAACATTATACAGGAAGGGGAGAGAGTTGATGACAGTAAAAAGACACAGCCTCGTGCCTTGACAAGTGTGTCTTGGAATAGATTTTCAGATGCTGGTTTCCCTACAGGATCAGATTACAACAATAATGCATCTGTAATTGAAAAAGGAAATTCCATCAGCAATTCTAAGAAGCAGGGGGTTCTTTCTGTTCGTGCTGCATCTATGCTGGTAAATTTCATTTCTGGCCTAATCTTAATGTTTGTCCTTTCAACTTAATGAAAGAAACATGATCTTGACTGGAGTTTTGTTCAATGTTACTATGTTCTTTCCTATTATTGGAATCTGTCTAGAAGAACATGCAGAAATGTCTAAGTTTGAGGCATAAACACTTCACTGTATCTATAACCTTTGTAAGACATGAGGGGTCAACCATTTCTTTTATTAATAAAATAAAAATTTATGTGGATGTGTTTTCTTATTCTGTTGTAAATATATTTCTATCCTACTTTAAGTATAAAAAGATGCATTACTCATTAAGTAATAGCTCCCCACATTTTGCATAACATTAAAGCAAACTTCTTAGATACGTTAAAAAATATTTGTGATTTACCTTTCTTTCTTTCTATCTTTTTTTTTTTTTTAATGAATCAACATGAATGCAAATTCTTGCTTCTTCGTGTATCTCTTCCTTTGGGGCAGATTTTATTTCGTTATATCTTTATTATACGTCAGACTCACCTTGAGGGGAACCAAATCTTAGGAGTATTCCTACCTCATATAATAAGTGGTACATTGAGGACTGAGATATATACTCTTTTCCACTTCGAATAGAACATAGAATTATCTATCTTGCAGCCTTCTGCCGAATTGGGATGCAAAATCATATTGCTTTCCACCATAGAAACATTTTAGGATATAAAGCTGTTTTGCATTTGAGAATCTCATTGATAATTATCTTAAATATATGAGAATATGACTGTCATTGGCAGCCCACAAGCCAAATACAATGGGTACTGCCCTATACAAGATTATACAATTTTCTCTATGAAAATGTTTATTTTAATTTTATTTAATATATTTTTTCCGATTCGTTTCTGTAATAACTGGGCGTCTGGTTTATGTAGGAAGCAGAACGAGATTCAGAAAAAAATTGGAGTCCCATAGTGGAAATTAAGTATTGGGGAGGGATATATAGGGGGCGTATCCAAGGAGGACTTCCTGAAGGAAAGGTTATTGTTCAATCTCTGAAGAACTAGTAAAACTTATTTTCTGGGAGGTCATTTGATTCTTGATATAAGGATGAAATTAACCGTGAAACTCACAGGGTCGTTTGTTGCTTTGCGACGGAAACATCTATGATGGAATGTGGCGCTATGGGAAGAGATCAGGTCTAGGTACATTCTGCTTCAATAATGGAGATGTTTTCCAGGGATCATGGAGGGATGATGTAATGCATGGCAAGGTATAAGTATTGCTCCATGACACTTCTACGTTTGATTTTACATTAATCATACACATTATCTGTTGCAAGTGTTTCACTTCTTACTTCAAAGTTCTCCTAAACTGACTTTTTATGTAGGTGTTGCAATAATTTCAAACAAATATACACTCATGTTCCTGTTCGATGAGAGTGACTATCTAATTTTATCTTCTACAGACTTTTATTTCACTTGGAAGGAAATTTAATTCTGTCCATAATTAAATTACTTTGATTAAGTAGGGTACTAGATACTAGTTTTTTAATCTTGATTTATTTGGATTTGTTTCGCAGGGTTGGTTTTACTTTCATACTGGGGATAGATGGTTCATAAACTTTTGGAAGGGAAAGGCAAATGGAGAAGGTCGCTTCTATTCAAAGCTTGGTGATGTGTTTTTTGGTCACTTTAAAGACGGATGGCGGCATGGTGACTTTCTTTGTATCAATGTTGATGGGACAAGGTCTGTTCTCAATTTTAAATTCTGTTTAATTAAATGATCTTTTATGCACGTGGTTGATTCCTTGATATTGACTTTTTTTCTAAAGTACCATGTACATAGTATATATTTGGTAAAGAAAATTGAGCTAGGGTCCAGATTGAAATGGCTTAATCAGGATCTAATTAATATTTCCTCAAGTATCATATTGCCAAGTTCAGATGCTACACAAGGTTCAAATTAGGAGTAACTTTTACATATTCTAGACCCACGAGTAATCTTACCTATTTTTGATTTGTTTACTGACTGTTTATAATCACTCAAACCACTTTTTATCCATATATTTCATTAGACCCACAAGTTTTATCCACTTATTTACATCTAAGTTCTATCTTTTTATAATTTATACCGTTTATAAACACTTTCCGAACGAGCTTTGAATTTTGATATTTTAAATTGGAACAGGTATTTTCAATATTCCCACCTCTATTCATTTTCTCCCATTCTCGTATTAATCCATTTAAATAAGAACAGGATTCATGGAATGGAAGGCTTACTTTTCCCCAAGTAGTTTTTATTTTTTTTTCGTTTGTGAAGAGAAACGGGTTTGGCATAAATTAAGAAAAAAAGTTAAGTTTCTTCCTCTCCTCTGATTTCATTATATAGAAAAAAATAGAGTATACGTTTGGTAACTCGGTACAAAAATGGAAATATAATAAACTCTAGTTATACTCTTGCCTAATCGACGTGATTTACTTCCTTGACAGTTTGAAAGAGATGAAGCATGTCAATTAGCTAAAATGTAGATACAATGACATGTAAGAAAGTTTGAAACTGAAGTTAAGGGCCTGTTTGGCATAACTTTTGCATCTGCTTCTCGTAGCATAGCTTCTTGAGGAAGCTAGCTTGTACTAATTTCCTCTAATAACTCTTCTAGCATGATATAACACTTTTAGAAAATGTTTTAGACAAGTCCAAAAACAACTTCTTAATCTCAAAAGCAGCTTTTGGTTTTTAAAAGCCCTACCCAATGGCTTGAGACATATAAATGAATGAAAGCATAAAGGAAATGTTTGCCATTTCAATCAATAGAGGTATCCAAGGACTTAATAATTTCAAGCATTATTTGAATTAGTTATCATCTGAAGTTTTTGATTCTTGAAGTATCAAATAATTGTACCGATAACAGATTTCTAAATATATTATACTGCCAGTTGATTTTCTGAATATTAGTGTATGCATTATAATTTAAATAATTTTCTTACTCTATAGGTTTCATGAGGTATGGGATGAAGGTGTACTTGTAAGCCATAAGAAAGTGGATTCCGATGCTGGAGCTGGTTGATTTTTCGCTTCATTTATGATATCTGTAAATTTATCGTTTACTTAGCAAAATTTTATTCTCTTGCATTGCCACTTGAACACGTAAATAGTGTCTGTTTTGTTGATACAGATGGAATTGGCACTTAATTTCACACTTGGCTGCTTTCCCATCACTCTTTTGGGGAAGTGCATATGTAACAGCATTCTCAATTGTGTATTTATAGAGAAGTCATGTATACATATTTATAGAAACTAGCAGTTTGGATTCAATTCGTAGACATGACATACCAGTGTTGATGATATAATTGTAAGCTTAGTGCTCTTCCACGGTGCATCAAGGAAAGAAAGGCAGCTTTATAGTGGTGAACTCGAGGTGAGATTAGAGTAGGAAGACCATGAGCGGTGAAGTTCTTTCCCAAGCCTCATCCATTTGATAATTGTAATTTTTCTCATCATGGCAAAACTTTTTCAAAATTATAAGTTGGTCAAATATCATTATTTTGTAGGAGCCACTTTTCATCTTAGGATTTATCACTTAAGGTCGTTTGGCATGATTTTTGAAAAGTCAAAATGAGATCCTAAAGCTGCTTTTGGATTCGTTAGATTAATTTTATGAAAGTACTTCTTTGAATCAGAAGAGATTTTAGAGGAAGTTGATCCAATGTGACTTCTTTTAAAAGTACTTCTGGAATATGAACCTCTTTTGAAAGTTTGTTTTCAACAAAAATTGAAAGCTTTCTCTGAAAACTCTTCAACACGAAGTAATAGCAAAAGTAGAAATTATGTCAAACGGTTTCTTATAATCTACAAAATGCTTTACCTAACATATATCGAGTGAAAGAGTCATTAGTCTGTGAATGGATATAACTCAAGAAAATGATCATCATAATGGTAACTTTAATTCAGCCCTCGTTTGAAATTGATTTAACAAATAAAAATAAAAAATTTTCCACTCATTCTTCAAAATAAAAAAATATTTGTCACATATTCTCATAACTTTTCTCTATTTTGTAATCATATTCTCTAAAAATATTCGGGGCCGTTCTCTTTGTGTTTCAGTTTTGTGTTTTGAGTTTTGAATTCGTTTTGTGTTTTGTGTTTTGAGTGTCTTTTTTGAAGTTTCTGAAAACGCGTTCTTTTTGTCATTTTGAAAAACTGTTTTGAGAAACATGAAAATGGAAAACGCGTTTACTTTGAAATTTTGAGAAT